AGAGTCCATCCATTTCATAGAATAAACAGAACCTCAAAGCACAGACACAGATGCCGATTCCGATTCCGATTTCGGTCGCTGCAACATCCCACAGCTGTCCCCCCCGCTACACGCAAAGATGCACAAATACATTTATGGGAATCAACATTTTTGTGCTTAAGCCAAATGCATTTTCCACTTGTAAAGCGAACACACTTTTCCCTATACAATCCCCCCCGCACTTTCTCTGAAATATTTTTCAATATTTCATATTTATGGGCTGCCTCATGACCTGCGGCAATACAAGCTTTATGGATGCGCTCTTGACAACCGCCACAGACACATGCATATAGGCAAAGCAACATGTTGCTGGGTTGCTGGGATGTTGCCTGCTGCTGGCGATGACAGGCCTCGTTGTGGCCGTTTGTGGGGAGCTCTGCGCTCTAATCTCCACAAGATGAATCGGCCAGCCAGCCAGCCATATGGAAAAGTATTTCAAAAAGATTGCCAAACGCTGATAAGCCGGCGAATGCGGCAGGCACGAACTCCCCGAAAAACCATTTGAAATTGATTAGAGAGGGAGAGTAGAGCATCGTCTGAGATAAGCATTTGAGATACCATCCATCGGGCGCATTAGAGACGTAGCCAAATGGTCGCCGCTGCTGCTGCCGCTGCTCTTTTTGGTCATACATCTTTTTAGATACTCTCACTCTATCGGGGGATATGGCGAATGTAAGCAGGCGTTTGAAATGCCGGAAAGGAAGTGAAACTCAATCAAAATTCTATCCAAATTCTGTAACCTTAGATCTCTTAGTGTATTTCAAGTAACTCGCTTGCCGTTATGGTTTATAATGATTGGTGGCTACACAATTAAAAGATGGAGTGAGTGGAACCTGAGATGCTGCTGCTGTTGCTGCCACAGCTGCTGCGCCTGCGCTGCCCTTGCCACATTCATGACAAAACCATTGTTCTGTTGCCTTTCTCTGTGGCTGGGACTATGAAATGAAAAACCCATAGAATGAGGATTTAAACTGGCAAATGAGCTGACTTCTACACTCTCCACTCTATGCCATTGTCATCTGTCTCTTAGAACTAGCAAAACACACACTTAGAATGCATAAATTGGCAATGAGACGAGCTAATGAGATGGCTTGGCTTCTCCTGACTGACTGACGGAAGCAAAGCCAAGCCAAGCCAAGCCAAGGCTGCTGCTGCTGCTGCAGTTACTGTCGCTGTTGTTACTCTGACATGCTGTGGCATATCTTCACGAGCTGCCTGCCACGCTGCCTGGCATTATAAACACATTAAGTATTCAGCAAAATATTTTCATTTGGAAGCAGCAGGCAGAGAGAGAGAGAGCAAAGGGAGAAAGCCATCGGGAAGAGCAAAGAGGAGGTTTATTAATTCAATTGGAAATGTATTTTCGCCGAAATTGCAGCCTTTTGCTGGTGTGTCCCGGAGTGCAGCTAAAAATTTGCATAATTGAGTGTTGTCAGAGAGTTGTATGTATAGATAGAAGGGGGAAAAGCCTCCACCGACAGGTGAGCCAAGGGAAATTGTAATTGCTTCCTCCCCCTGCCAGGTCTCCCGCTCACTCTCTCTCTCTCTCTCTCTGTCTTTGTCTGTCTGGCCATGTTGCATGCGGCAAAAGTGCGCCAAATTGCTGGGAATACTGCCGTAAACTGCCGTTTCGTTCTATGCCACACTGATGGCAATCAAATTCAATCAATTTAATTAAGCCGCCAAGGGGGCGGGGCCCTCATCGTTGGGGCGTTTTCAGAGCTCCCCCCAGTGGCGGATACGCAATATGCCAGAGGCTTGTCTGTCTGTGTGTGTGTGTGTGTGTTTGTGTTTTATTTTTAACACGTTACGCACGTAGCGGGGATGCTAAAAATATAATGTTGTACGAGGCTACACTTGTCTTTATATAGCCAACATAATATCGAGTAACAAACGGCACGGAGAAAGCTCTACGCTACGCTACTCTACTCTAACGCTGCTGCTGCTGTTGGCTTAGGGTTTTCTTGTTCTTAGGATAGTCCCTGGCTGCATAATCAAGCGGCCATAAAGCAGGCGAACGGGCGAACAGGCGAACGTGACAAGAACACGTACAAAATGGCCCAAAAGGGATGGCAGTTACCCAAACTATTTGCTCAGGCCAACAAAATTCGCACAAAATGTAGTAGAAATGACTTCATTTTATCCACCAATCATATTCACACACACATACACACATCTCTGTTGTTACAGTTTCCCGGAATGTCCCTCGTAGAGTGGAGTTTTTGTTGTTGTTGTTGTTCTGTGGAAATTTGTAATTCCCCAATGAGTCTGAAGCTTGGGGAAATTCTCATGCTAAACACGAAAAGAGAACGATTTACTGGCACTTTTTCTTTATTTTCTGCCTCTCAGGAAAATGTGTGTGTGGTGTGTGTGTGCCACTGTGTGGCAGACAACATAAATAACATGAGCCGCAGCGAGGAACAAGATGCCAAACATGCGCTTGGTTTTTCCTCTGTGCTTTTTCTTTTGTAGCCCAAGCCGCTGGATAATAAAAACCAAATAAACCAAGGGCGAACCCAACGCACCTCCCATGGAGGGAGAAGCCAGCCGCAAACACAGAAGAAAAGAAAGTGAAATTTCACACACGCGCCGCAAAAAGAAAAAAACAGAAAAGGAAATATCGCCTCTTCGCACATAAATAAATAAGAAGCGTGGAACTTGAATTGATTTGCTTAAGAGAGTTGCCCCCTAACCACTCCACATCCACAATCCCCTCTTGTTAACCATAAAAACGTCATAATTATGAGCATCGCGGGGGAGGTGGGCACAAGGAACTTTTTTATGGCAAATCAAATTTAAACTGAATGTCAAGTGAAAAAGGTTAAATGCAGCTGGCCCCAAAAGGGGTGCCTGCAGCCTGCTGGGGAGTGATGCGGTAGCCTGCAAAAGATTTATGAAAAATTGCGCTGCGCTGCGTCGAGGGGCTTCGCAAGTACAACAAGATAACATGGCCGAAACACACACACTTACACATGCATGTCCCTGTGAACGGAAATGAAAATGTAAACTTTATGACAGAACTCTCGACTTCTCTCTCTCTCTCTCTCTTATATGTATATATTTTTTTTTTGTCTCAGCCCATCCCGCTGCCGGCTCCTGCTGTTCGTTTGGATTTCCGTTGGTTTTTATTCCATATCTTTTTTTTTTGTTGCTGGCCCACCAACGATGCGGCTGTATGTTTATCAAATAAAATATATAAATCAAAAACTATATGGCCTCAGGTCATGCTACGCCCACTCATACGCTGACCTCTTTGTGGGCCAACAAAAAAGAAATGAAAGGAATATTCGCAAGGGTCGAGGCGTGGCATACAAATCAGATAAAGGAGCCTGGCAACCTGCTGCCTCTCAATTTTATAGGGCATATAAAATGAATAGAAACCCCAGAAGAGCGTAGCTGTAACGAAATAAATAATCAAAGCTGCCGTAATTTTCAGACTCGTTTTCATTTTCAATTGAATTTTATCTGAATAAATACAACAAAGAAATGCCAAAGCCAAAACAACAATAAACATGGCATAAATACACACACACACACAGAGAGAGAGATCGCCCAGCAATGAGTTAAAACTGGGTTAAAATGACAAAACGAAATTGGCATCGGGAAATGTCTCTAAACAACACATTTTTCAGTTACAACATTTGTTGGCCTTTCTTCGCCCTCTCTGCCGACGTCTCCGCACTGCTCATCACCTCTCTCCTTCTCTCTCTCTCACTCTCTTCCATCTCTTTCTGTGTCCGTCTCCGTCTTTTGTTATTGCACATTTCGCCACAAAAGTTGTAATTTCATTTTTATTGGTATTTTTACAAATTCGTTTGCCCCGTTGCTCGTTTGTGTTTATGCATTTTAATGGCTCGAAGAAGGAACAATTTGGCAACAGAATTTTGGCCTGCAAGCAGCCGGCGCCCATTCGCCTTCTCCTCTTTGCCCCAGACGTCTGATCTTTGGCTTCTGCTCTGCCGGGCAGTGGCCCGCCTCAACCATCTGCTGCCCCACCCCGACCCTGGCACAATATCAAAGTCAAATTGTGTGTAAAATTCTGTTGTTAGCCCGCTCGCTCTCTCTGTCTCTCTCTCTCTCTTGGCCCAAATAGAATCATCAACGGCGGGAAATGTTGTAACCAATTCAAAGCTGATGACTAAATGATGAGGAAAAGCACAGCAGACAGGGGCATGCTTGTTTGTCATGTTTCCATATCATTAGAGTTATTTATTGATTCAATTTAATGCCCCAAATACAGCAAGCAATCTTCAGCATATGGATCCTCAGGCGTAACCCATCCAAACTGAATATATATTGGCTTACACAGTCTCAACCTAAACCCCGACATCCTTGTATATCCCAATCCTAATTGCATTAATTTACCCCCGTCTGGCAGCTCAATATTTGAGAGGGAAATGGCAGGGTAGGGAGAACTTTTACTGACTGAAAATCCCTTGTAATCTGAGCTTGCCAAAGAAATCACGGTCACAATCCTTTTGGCTACAGTCTGGCTACATTTTCTGGCACTTTGCCACACTCCCCGGCTGACACTCTCTGGGAGTGTCGCTGCCTGAATGTGCGGCTGAAGTTCTGGAGAAACTTGTTGAAAAATTGCAAAACGTTAATCAAAGTTAAGCGGCGCAACGCAGACGGCAAAGTTAATTAAATTACAAAGTTATTTAATACTTTGGGAATCGTTACCGTTTGCCGGTGGCTCTGCCACGATGGAGAGTGATAGACACCGTGATGTGCCTTGCTGTGCCAGCAGGAATCAGTGAAGCATCCATCCAGCCAGGTAGCCAGGTAGCCAGGTAGCCAGCCAGCATCTGCTCTTGGTCGCTTTGAACTCTGGCCTCTGGTCCCTGTGCCCTTTGCCTCATTTGTTCTGCAGCAGGTGGCAGGTGGCAGGCAGCCCCGTACCACTCCCTTCCCCAAGCACCAGACAGCAACTCCATCAGAGTAAAGGCAACGGCAACGTGTTGGCAGCTCTTAATGAAATGTAATTGAAATAAATTAATTTTTCTCGCACTCTTTCGCCGAGTGCAGCGCCTGGCACTCAAATGGTTATATTCCAAACTCTCTGCCCCAGCTTGCACTTTAATTCAGAGTTTAATTTACACAGTTATGCATTCCTTTTGGACTTCTTCCCTTCGCGGAGAGGTTTGTTCACGGATATCGGCACGTTTTCCTTATTTTCCACATCTTTCGAGACTGTAATGGAATAACAGAAAGTTAATCCTGTGAAAACGATAAAAGGAAATTGAAATAAAGTCACAAATACCTTCATTGGCCAAACGGGCAAACATCTCAGCCCTCGACTTTTTCTCTCTTTTGTCCCGCTTCTTGTCCTCCATAAAACGCCTCTTCTTGCTGTGAGAGCTCTGAGGAAGATTCTCTCCGAAGCCAGAGGTGGAAGCCTGCTCAAACTCTGCTTCAAGCTGCTGCTCTGCTATAATCTCTTTCTCCTGAGTTTCCTCCACCTTTAGCACATGCTCTGGCTCTAAGTTGTTTAGATCTACAATGGCCAAACAGAAAGAAAAGTCGTTGAAGGGAAACTTAAATGAAATATCACAATACCTTCAGAGGTTGCACTCCACAACAAATCAGCCTTCGACTCTTTGGCTTTCTTCTGCTTCTTATTCTTCTTCTGCTGCTCTGCTATGTTCTCTCTCTCCTGAGTTTCCTCCACCTTTAGCACAGGCACTGGCTCTATGTTATTTAGATCTACAATGGCCAAACAGAAAGAGAAAACGTTGAAGGGAAACTTAAATGAAATATCACAATACCTTCAGAGGTCGCACTCCACAACAAGTCAGCCTTCGACTCTTTGGCTTTCTTCTGCTTCTTATTCTTCTTAGATATCTTAAGGACCTTTTCTTCGGAGCCACAAGTGGAAGCCTGCTCAAACTCCGCTTCAAGCTGCTGCTCTGCTATAATCTCTTTCTCCTGAGTTTCCTCCACATCCATAGGCTCTGGCTCCAAGTTATTTAGATCTGCAATGGCCAAACAGAAAGAAAAGTCGTTGAAGGGAAACTTAAATAAAATATCAGAAATACCTTCATAGGTTGCACTCCACAACAAGTCAGCTTTTGACTCTTTGGCTTTCTTCTGCTTCTTATTCTTCTTAGATCTCTTGAGGACCTTTTCTTTGGAGCCACAAGTGGAAGCCTGCTCAAACTCCGCTTCAAGCTGCTGCTCTGCTATGTTCTCTTTCTCCTGAGTTTCCTCCACTTCCACAGGCTCTGGCTCTGGCTCTAAGTTATTTAGGTCTACAATGGCCAAACAGAAAGAGAAAACGTTGAGGGGAAATTTAAATAAAATATCACAAATACCTTCAGAGGTCGCACTCCACAACAAGTCAGCCTTCGACTCTTTGGCTTTCTTCTGCTTCTTATTCTTCTTAGATCTCTTAAGGACCTTTTCTTCGGAGCCACAAGTGGAAGCGTGCTCGAACTCCGCTTCAAGCTGCTGCTCTGCTATAATCTCTTTCTCCTGAGTTTCCTCCACCTTTAGCACATGCTCTGGCTCTACGTTATTTAGATCTGCAATGGCCAAACAGAAAGAAAAGTCGTTGAAGGGAAACTTAAATTAAATATCACAATACCTTCAGAGGTTGCACTCCACAACAAGTCAGCCTTCGACTCTTTGGCTTTCTTCTGCTTCTTATTCTTCTTAGATATCTTAAGGACCTTTTCTTCGGAGCCAGAAGTGGAAGCCTGCTCAAACTCCGCTTCAAGCTGCTGCTCTGCTATGTTCTCTTTCTCCTGAGTTTCCTCCACTTCCACAGGCTCTGGCTCTGGCTCTAAGTTATTTAGATCTACAATGGCCAAACAGAAAGAGAAAACGTTGAAGGGAAACTTAAATGAAAAATCACAAATACCTTCAGAGGTTGCACTCCACAACAAGTCAGCCTTCAACTCTTTGGCTTTCTTCTGCTTCTTATTCTTCTTAGATCTCTTAAAGACCTTTTCTTCGGAGCCACAAGTGGAAGCCTGCTCAAACTCCGCTTCAAGCTGCTGCTCTGCTATGTTCTCTTTCTCCTGAGTTTCCTCCACATCCACAGGCTCTGGCTCTAAGTTATTTAGATCTGCAATGGCCAAACAGAAAGAAAAGTCGTTGAAGGGAAACTTAAATGAAAAATCACAATACCTTCAGAGGTTGCACTCCACAACAAGTCAGCCTTCGACTCTTTGGCTTTCTTCTGCTTCTTATTCTTCTTAGATCTCTTAAGGACCTTTTCTTCGGAGCCACAAGTGGAAGCCTGCTCAAACTCCGCTTCAAGCTGCTGCTCTGCTATAATCTCTTTCTCCTGAGTTTCCTCCACCTTTAGCACATGCTCTGGCTCCAAGTTATTTAGATCTACAATGGCCAAACAGAAAGAAAAATCGTTGAAGGGAAACTTAAATAAAATATTTTAGAAATACCTTCAGAGGTCGCACTCCACAACAAGTCAGCCTTCAACTCTTTGGCTTTCTTCTGCTTCTTATTCTTCTTAGATCTCTTAAAGACCTTTTCTTCGGAGCCACAAGTGGAAGCCTGCTCAAACTCCGCTTCAAGCTGCTGCTCTGCTATGTTCTCTTTCTCCTGAGTTTCCTCCACATCCACAGGCTCTGGCTCTAAGTTATTTAGATCTGCAATGGCCAAACAGAAAGAAAAGTCGTTGAAGGGAAACTTAAATGAAAAATCACAAATACCTTCAGAGGTTGCACTCCACAACAAGTCAGCCTTCAACTCTTTGGCTTTCTTCTGCTTCTTATTCTTCTTAGATCTCTTAAAGACCTTTTCTTCGGAGCCACAAGTGGAAGCCTGCTCAAACTCCGCTTCAAGCTGCTGCTCTGCTATGTTCTCTTTCTCCTGAGTTTCCTCCACATCCACAGGCTCTGGCTCTAAGTTATTTAGATCTGCAATGGCCAAACAGAAAGAAAAGTCGTTGAAGGGAAACTTAAATGAAAAATCACAAATACCTTCAGAGGTTGCACTCCACAACAAGTCAGCCTTCAACTCTTTGGCTTTCTTCTGCTTCTTATTCTTCTTAGATCTCTTAAAGACCTTTTCTTCGGAGCCACAAGTGGAAGCCTGCTCAAACTCCGCTTCAAGCTGCTGCTCTGCTATGTTCTCTTTCTCCTGAGTTTCCTCCACATCCACAGGCTCTGGCTCTAAGTTATTTAGATCTGCAATGGCCAAACAGAAAGAAAAGTCGTTGAAGGGAAACTTAAATGAAAAATCACAATACCTTCAGAGGTTGCACTCCACAACAAGTCAGCCTTCGACTCTTTGGCTTTCTTCTGCTTCTTATTCTTCTTAGATATCTTAAGGACCTTTTCTTCGGAGCCAGAAGTGGAAGCCTGCTCAAACTCTGCTTCAAGCTGCTGCTCTGCTATAATCTCTTTCTCCTGAGTTTCCTCCACCTTTAGCACATGCTCTGGCTCTATGTTATTTAGATCTACAATGGCCAAACAGAAAGAGAAAACGTTGAAGGGAAACTTAAACAAAATATCACAATACCTTCAGAGGTTGCACTCCACAACAAGTCAGCCTTCGACTCTTTGGCTTTCTTCTGCTTCTTATTCTTCTTAGATCTCTTGAGGACCTTTTCTTCGGAGCCACAAGTGGAAGCCTGCTCAAACTCCGCTTCAAGCTGCTGCTCTCCTATGTTCTCTTTCTCCTGAGTTTCCTCCACCTTTAGCACAGGCACTGGCTCTATGTTATTTAGATCTACAATGGCCAAACCTTCAGAGGTTGCACTCCACAACAAGTCAGCCTTCGACTCTTTGGCTTTCTTCTGCTTCTTATTCTTCTTAGATATCTTAAGGACCTTTTCTTCGGAGCCAGAAGTGGAAGCCTGCTCAAACTCTGCTTCGGGCTTCTGCTCTTTGATATTCGTATGCTCGTTTATTTGCACTACGATTTCCTCAGCTTTTGATAGATCTGTAAGGGCTAAACATAAAGTGAATCATTTGAAAAACCATCAAAAACCCACGAATACCTTCAGCTGACTCTGACGTCTTGGGGGAATCTGTAGATTCAATCATCATGCCAGTGGTCAGTGGACCCTTATATTCGTTATAGATCAAACCCAAGTCGATGGGAAAGGGCGTCTTCGGGGTGCCAGGTGGTTTTGGTGGCATCAAAAATGGGTTCTTGGGCGCTGTCACAAAGTAGAGATTATGGAAAAGTACTTCAAGCGGATGTAGGCAGTGGAGTAGTTACCTTGCTCGGGGATCGGATCATTATCGCCGTAGATATCAATTTCGTATGTCTGATCGCGTGGCATTAGGGCGTCCATGTAGGCAGGTCTCTTGGGCGGCTCCAAGTCGAGCAAATCAAATCGACCGGTTGGCTCGCTGAACAAGGACACAGTTTGCTTCATGCGCTTGTATAGATGGTTGAGGTTATCCTTCTCTTGCCGTCGCTTCAGTGCCATCTTCTCGCGCGACTCCACGTAATCGATTTTGTTGTTTGGCACCATCGGTGTACTCTTGTAGGTGTGTGGCCCGGGAAAAGGCGGCAGGAAACTGGGAACATTTGGATGCTTGACCATTTCCTTTGCCGAAGTGGCACCCAGCAATGGTTTGGCTGGCGTGTGATGCACCCGAGTCTCCGGTACGGGAAAGTCGATCTTGGGCATGGGCTTGCCCTCATTAGCCTTGACCTCGGCGGCGAGATCCCCGGCCGTGATGTTCATGCTCTTAAAGGTGCGCTCCACATCGAAATATCCCGGCTGGGAGCGGCCAGCGTGACTTGCCCAAATACTAGTCATTGTGCCAATTTGCGACAATTCTAAAGGGGAAAACTGCGTAAAGATTGGGTTACAGCGAAGCTCCCCACGGTACTTACTGTCGCCCATTTGGCGAGCCATCCAGCGTTTCACCGACTCGTCCTGCACCTCGATGTTTTTCTGGTCCAGCATATGCTCCACTACTTTCACTAAGGTGTCCTCGTAGATACCCATTATGTAGAACTCCGTAATTGCTGCACACAAATCAAAAGAACTGTAGAAGCAGTGAAAATTTAAGCTGTCAAGCTCGGGGCTGTCATTAAAGTGTTGTAATAAAGTTGAGTAGTGCTGTAAAGCAGCGGACAAAAGGGTAGTTAAATGCGCTGGCAGTGCTAGTGTTGTAAAGTGTGCCCCGGACGGCACTGTACTTGTCATTAGCTCTGCCCTTTTTAGTATTTTCTTCTTCTCTACGTGATGGCTTTTCTTTCTTTAATTTTTCCTCTAGTACCTCCTCCTCTCTGTCATTAAATCTTTGGCCAAATCTTTCCGTTATGCTGCACACAAAAGAGATGCCTCGCTTGGATTGTTTGGCTACCGATTTGAAAATGTCTCCGCCACACCCCGAAAACTAATTAAAATATTTTCGCCTTTTGCGATCGCGACAAACTGCCAACAGCCTAAACAATTTTCCCCCTTAGTTTTTTTCACCCATAATAATAGCTCGTATCTCGTACATCTTTCCTAATGAGTTATGCAAATATTTGCAGTTGAATGAATTTCCAAGAAACCAAAGACAGAACCCCGCCAGACAGACAGACGATGGCTTTCAAGTGGAGGCTGCCTGTTTTACTCGTAAATGTTTGGCTATTGTCTGTGCAATGACAAATTTCCTCCGACTCTGTGTCATGGATTGGCCGAAACGTGAAGCATAATCAGTCATACAGTGGGGGGGGGGGGGGAGAGTGGAGGGGAGGTTCCCAGCCACGAGGTTACTGTGTCACACCGCAAGGGAAAACTAGGAGTAGGAGTTGTACAGTCTCTGAGCACTTTAGATGCCAGACGGCTGCGAGTAGATCTGCCAGAGATTCGCATTTGTATGACGCCCCAGAGGCTGCTGCAATTGAACAAATTGCCTTGCTCCAAGCTCCCACCCACCCTCTAACCCTCTCTCTCTCTCTTCATGGTTTTTACGATCATGATGATGATAATAATAATGATGATGATGATGTGTATGTTTTATGAGGAACGGTCGTGCTTTGTGGGCGTTCATGGCTGACATTTGTGCAAAGAACTCGCCCATATCTGCCCGATCTGCTGTCTGCCTTTAAGCGCTACCGTTTAAGGCTCTGTTCGGTCATGTACACATCTCTTGCCCTGCCCGTGCCATGCAAATTTGTGCGGTTGCATTTGCGGTTACACCCATCCCATTGTCGCATAAATTTCATTCATAATTAACAAGTGAGGATGGGAGCATCCTCTCTCTGCACTTCACAAGTTGTTTTTGCTCCGATGACAAACAAAATAATTGCCGCAATTTCCACAGAGCGATCTCGTGGTCACTCTTGGCAGAGGACAGTGCAGCGATGCAGCCTTGCCACCAGTGCAAATTGACTTGTCCAGAGCTGTTGCCTCCCTCCACCCGGCACCAAAACGGGCTAATTCAGACGATTAATTCGATAAGCTTGCAGCTGAAATCGGCAAACAGAGCGACAGACGACAGTTGGACAAACCTGCAGCAAATTGATTGAGCAGCCGATTGCCATAGAAGTCGCTGACTCTCCCAAGTTCCCCCCACAGCAAATTGCCCCGTCGGCTGGACAGGCACAAAGCACAACAAATTGTTCCAGTTTCCGAGGAGCCCAGATAAATCTATTGAGATATCGAGACTTGACTCGACTCCACTCGACTCGAGACTGCAGTCGCTGGAGGCAATCGCTGGACCGTTAAGCCCCCCACACGCCAGCTGAACGCTGCTTCTCAGAGTCTCGGAGTGTCTGTGGCACGATCTGGGTTGGGGTTCTGGTGTTCTCTGGAAGCCCATCTGTTGATGGAGGGCGGCATAATGGTTATGACAGGCTGTTTGGTGCCGGAACTGGCGAACAGGTTGAGGAGAGCCACGTTCTCCAGCTAACGGAGCCACATGAACTCTGCGCACAAAAGGTCACTGGAGGGAGGCTGGAGAGGCTAACGATGAAGTGAAAGATTCTTGAATCGAATCGTTGATCAGTTTTTTTTTTGGATAATGATCATGTAGTTAAGGCCTCATTACAAATCTCCTGCAGCCAGCCAAAGCAATCAAAATCAAAGTCTGCACGACTTTTTGTCGTTGTTGCTGGCCAGTTAAACGGCGTCAAGTGATCGATCTCCGGTCACTGCAAATGGCTAATGGCACAATCAATGCAAACTTGCGTAATTAGAGGCCCCGAGGAGCAGAGCAGAGCAGAGACAAGAGCCGCCAGATGGTCAATGGTCGCGCGGAAGCCAATTCGTACGTTTGTCAATCTGTCAAATTGTGTAAAATGCCAACAACAATAACAATAACAATAGCAATTATTGTAAGTTATTATTGTTAAAAGAAAACAAGTTTACTTGGCCACAAACTGCGGCATCTGAGTGAGGTAATGATAGAAACATTCGTCTCCAGTTGTACATACATACATGAGTACATCTACATTTGTACATAAACATGCAAACATACATGTGTACATACATCTACATCAACATGCATGGCCCTTAGTTGTGTATAGGCAAAAGTCGCTGCAGCTGCTGGCTGAGCTGCCGCGCTGTCGCTCACACTTAAGCGTGTATTGCAGTAGCTGGCACCAACACCAAAGCTCCGTTTTGGCTGCCGTACACGCACACAAACGCACAGCATGCCGACCACCTGAGATGTGACGTCATAATTTGGAATCGAAGTCACAGAGAAATTAGATTATGTTCACTTATGTTATTTGTAGGCCCGCTCTTACTTATTCGAAGATCTCGGTCTGAAACGGTCTGAAAAAGACGAGAACAACAAGAGAATTCTGTCGCTCGCTTCTTGCGTTCGTTTGCAAGTGTTTGTGTGTGTGTGTCTACCTCTTTGCACTATGGGGAATTTGTGGCAATTTTTGTGGCAAAAATGAATAACTTCCAAACAAAACAATATTTTTATTTCGTTTTTTGATATTAGTTCATATTAGTGAAAGGAAGCAATGCAATATTATATAGGAAATAGTTGAAAACTATAATTAAATAGAAAAATGAGCTTTGACCAGAAGAAGTGGTCAATCATTTCCCATAGTGCTTTGCCTGCATAGACGACATACATATAATTGAAACAAAAAAAAATGAAAGCAACTACAACAAAAAGACAGTGGCTGAGCGCCGAAGAGAGCTGCACGTGTTTCCATCATCTCTCAGCGCTTAACACAAAACACGAGAGCAACAAATATATGTATGTGTTCTGTTCTGTTCTGAGAGTGAGCGAGACAGACTTCAGCGTTTATCTCTGTCTTTTTCGAGAGAAGACAGCATGAACAAAATTGTTTGACCATCATTTACGAGCTCTAATATGTAAACATTTTATTTGTAAGCCCGCTCTTATTTGTATTTATTATTATATTATTATTATCTGCACTGGGGGCAAATACAAAAATTGTCTTTTAGTGGTCTTTTGGTCCAGCTTGCAGATTTTTGTGTAGTTAATTTACAAAAAGAAAATTGCCCCTGCATGTATTTATATTTAATGCACGGAAATTAGTTAGAAATTGCACTTACATGATAAATAGAATCTTTTGCAGATAAAATATCACCTAATTTTCGGGAATTTATGAACTGAACATCAATTGGTTTGTCGCACCAAAGCTTTTCACAAACTAAATGGCAGGCAGTGTCAGGTTGCTGTGTCAGATTTTCACTCATCGATTGTCATCGCGCCTTAACGAACACTGTTCTGTTGTTTGGATCCTGCTTTTCCTTGCACAACACTGTTTTATCCCGCCTTCTGCTAACTGTTTGAATGCTGCAGCCTGCAGCCCCGCTCCCGGGCAATGTAATGCATTTGTTTCTTGCTTATTTTTAGATCTTTTGAGAGCATTTGCACTTTGAAAGTTTTGCTGTAACTGCCTTGCACTTTGACATTTGTGCGATGAAGTTTTTCACTCACCTTTACGCAATTGTTGCTTTGTTTTACTATCGAGCAAAGTGGGGATAAAAGCTCCTTTTTGTTTTGTACCCTGACCGTTATGCAAATCGACTGAAAGAGATTGCAAACAGACAAAGTTGCAATTTAGATTGTCCTTTATGGAGTTGACAAAAGACAGCGAATTGGGTAACAAAATTGCGAGTAGACTCACTTTCTATTTGCAGTTTGTTGAGTGTTCAGTATACGGCGACGTCATGTTTGACTCCGCCTATCTAATCATAGCTCAGGTGACTGACTCCATATCTAAAGGGGAACAAAATAGCAACAAGATAGCAATCGCCATCGTCTTGATTAGTCCCAATTGACACAAATTATGAGACTGCGCCTACATTTGATTGTTCCACTCTCTGTTTTTTTTGTATCTTTCGTACAGACTACCATTTTGGGTTGAACGAATTGAAATTTATTGCCAAAAAGTTGAGCGGAATTTAATAAATTATCAATTGAACGCGGGGAGCAGCAGCGTTCTATCGTTCGCTTCGTTTTATTCACTCATATGCAAAATGGCAATTAAACGCAAAACTCGAAATTAAAAGCAGGAAGAGGTGGACCCACGGCTTCATTGGGGGGTACGGGATGGGGCAGGGTGGCAATCGGTGGCACATTTATTAATTCAATTTTTGTTTGCTTCACGACGGCGAGCATCCATCGTCATCCGTCACCCATCCGAGAGGAGAGAGCAACGTGAGTCTGCTCCGATTTCGATTTCCATTTCGATTCAAATTTAAATTCAAATCAACTTTTCAAAGCTGGCGGCAAATTTATGCAATATTTTCGTACAGACCTACGACTATATCGGGCTCTAGACTTCCTCTGTTCCCCCTGGCATGGCTCTGAAAAAATGCTAAATTTGTGCTAAAAAAAGAAAAAGACCTTCTCGGCAGAACATAATTATGGACTTTCAGTTTGCATAAGCAGAAACAACAAGGCTGAAACACTAGCCGAGGAGCCACAGCATCAACAAATATTTAGGTAAAACTCGCTAGGGGATAGAGGGGGAAGAGTCTGCCCCTCAGTTGGCCATCTCGTGCTCGTATATCTTCACAAATAAACATTTCCAGCTGACAGACATCCAAACAAAAC